AGTTGTAGGTACGTTTAGATTAGGGAGGGTTAGAGTTAGATTTAAGGTTTTAAGGTTAGCTCTCACCCTTATACTAAACCCTTGTTGCCCAAATCTAGCAACTGTAGATAAGTTCCAAAAATATTTAAATTGCATCGACAGGGGCGTATAATATTCATTTACTCCTTTGTGGTCTTAGTAACTCAAAACGGCAAAAAATATCAGAAAGAACTTTGAAATTCTAAGGTAGTGATGTGTCGTAATGGCTAAGGCTAGTTTCACTAAAATGAGCCCAATCCTGAAAAATAGAAACATGTCAAGGACTACCCACAAAAAAAAGTTATGAAATGCTATATATGGCCAACCCTTCTATATAGCTGTGAATGCTGGACAATCAGTAAAGACAGTGAAAATAAAATAGAAGCAACAGAAATGTGGTTTCTTGGAGACTGCTAAGAGCATCGTGGAAGGAAAAGAAATCTAATGAGGTAGTGCTTGGTGAAGCCCACATGGGACGATCCCTGTTAAAACAATCAGGCAACGACAAATGCTGTTTTTGGGACACCTGAATAGACATAAGTGGTGGGTGTGGTTGTGGTGGTGGGTGTGGTGGTAGTTGTTGGTGTTGTTGTGGTGGTGGGTGTAGTTGTGGTGGTGGGTGTTGTGGTTGTGGTGGGTGTGGTTGTGGTGGTGGGTGTTGTGGTTGTGGTAGGTGTGGTAGCTGTTGTCTGTGTTGTTGTCTTGTCGTCTGGTGTGATGTAGGCGAGTGTGGTGGAGGGGAAGGTCGGGGAGAATGTGGGGAGCACACCTGGGGAGACACACAATGGTTTAGTTTAGTTTTGGTAGAGGTTTTACGGCGCTCACAACTGCACAAGGTCATATGAGCGCCAGAAGATTAGAGGTGTTACAAGACAGTTTAGTTTAGTTTTGGTAGATGTTTTACGGCGCTCACAACTGCACAAGGTCATATGAGCGCCAGAAGATTAGAGGTGTTACAAGACAGTTTAGTTTAGTTTTTTTTGGTAGAGGTTTTACGGCGCTCACAACTGCACAAGGTCATAATATGAGGGCCAGAAGATTACAGGTGTTACAAGAGAGTAACAAACAGAAAAAAGAAGAAGGGGGGGATAAGGATGATAGATGTTCGATAGGAAAGAAGGAGCAAACCACATCAGAGCACCCGCCAACCACCCACACACAATGTTTGTTTGTTTGTTGGTTTGTTTGAGTAAAGAGAAACACATCGACGCAATAATGGTCGTTTAGAGCTGAGGAAAAGTAAGACAAACAGATAGAAACAACACAGGGAAAGTAACGAAGTAGGACCAAGCTGTGGTTTTTTTGTTTGAGAGAAGAGAAACACATCGACACAATAATGGTCGTTTAGAGCGGGGAAAAGTATAAAAGACAGACAGACAGACAGACAGACAGACAGACAGACAGACAGACAGACAGACAGA